TTTACCCGGTTCTGGGCGGTGGTTGGAGTAGGGGAGGAGGAAGACAGTAGGAAGGACAGCCTGCCCGCAAAAAAAAAAAAAAAAGAAAACGATCCCCTTGTTTTCAGCGCGTTCTAGAGCAGGACTGAACACCAGAGGAAGAACGGAGCTAAAAGGCTTGGCATTAAACTTTGACACTCTAATGGTCTCTAGGATATTAGATAATATTTTATCATATAATGTTCTTTTCGGACACTGTAATGGCATCAAAACCAGATACGATCTCCAATCCCTGTAAACGTGCAGAGTGAAACTCATTACCGTAGAGATAAGACAGCAGGACCCTAGCTAGCTGGCTTCGCAGTTAACTTATCCCAAAGCTCCAAAGGAAACGTTTTTTTTTTTTTACTTCTTCGCTGAGGACGCTGCTGTGCAACCGCTACTTCCTTTTCGCATTCTCCTCGGCTCGGTCTGCCGCTGAGATTAGGTAAACAGCACTCCAGAGCTGGGGAACAGCCGGTGGAGGTGGTGGTGGTGGAAGGAGGTGGGGGTCGTCGCTTAAAGAGCCGGAGGGAAGGGAGGGGATGGGGGAAGGGTCCCGGCTGAGTCTAGCTAAAGGAAAAGAGCCAGGCTACCTAGGTAGGAGCCAGGTCCGGGGCAGGGCAAGAGGCGGAACCTCCCAAACCCTGGGGCTCGCAACGTGACCTCTGGGGAGTGGGGTCAGCGCCGCAGCCCAAGCGCGGCGTCCTTTTTTTACGCACCCCCTTCCCAAACCCCACCATCGCACTTTATCTCTGCTTTTGCATCTTTCCCCTGCACCTTCCAAGAACTAGGGTGGGCTCATCTTGAGTCCAAGGGCTAAGAGAGAGGCGCGAAGGCGAGGCAAAGACCCGGCGGCCCGCCCCGCTAGGGAGAGGTGGGACCCGGGGGGAAGGGGACCCCAGAAGCCCTGGGACTGAGCAGAGAAAAAACCCGGGAGCTGGATCACGCGCTGGAGCTCCGGTCTCCCAGTCGGAGTTGTCCATCTGTCTGCGTCCTTTTCCTCTCCCTGCCTCCCTGCTTTCTCCTCCTCTGGGTTTTCTCTCCAGGCCTCCTCCACTGTCATACTCCCGCCCCCTTTGCTCACTCCTTCCATGGCCAGAGAGGACTCTCGGCGCCTCACTCTCGTCTTTAGGACAGGGAGGCTAGGCTGCAAGTCCATTCAGAGGGATGTTACGCACGGGGTTCTTGTGCTGGGAGGGAAAGAGCAGGAATGAAATCCGAACGGAAAGGGGGAGTGCTGTGCGTGCATGGGGTATGTGTGTGTGGGGGGGAGGAGGGGAGGAGGTGCAAAGAAGTGCAGTTTCCCCAAAAGAATAGGAGCTTTGGACCGGAATCTTGGATACAGAGCCCTAAATGATGCTGTCAAAGCCCTTCAACGCGGCTTCTCGCAGCCTCAGGGTGCCCATACTCTGCTCACCTTCCAGAGAAGCGGCGACCCGAGTAGAAGGTGGAAGCAGTAGAAACTTCCCACTTCCTACGACGGTGGCTTTGTACAAGGGGGAGTGTTCAGGCAGCAAGGCCCTGCGAGCCTGCAAGCATCTCTACGGCGGCAGCTGCGGAGCCGCCCCGCTCCCCTTCCCCCTCTTTCCGCGAGGCTCGCCAAGCCCGAAGCGGCGGGGAGAGGCCGGGCTGGGGAAGAAGGGCGGGGAGCTCCCGGCTTGCACCCTTTCATCCTAACCCGGGCCGGATCCCGGATCCGGGTGTTGCTTCCGCCTGCGTGCGAGCTAGCTGAAGAAGCAGGAGGGAGGAGCCTAGCTGGTGGGCGGAGCCTAGGCGGGGGCGGCCTCTCGGTTCTCGGGGCTGCGGCGCCTGCCATTGGCCGGCCGCGCCATCACGGGGTGGGGGTGGGCGCCCAGGCGGGCGCTGGCCCCGCCCCCGCTCGGAGCCCGGCCCGGGTTCGCGGTCCCCCCCCCAGCTGCACAGACATGACACAGACACACAGTCACTGCAGCTGCTGAGCGATCCCCGCACTCTGGGCACGCGGCGGTGGGGCCAGCCCGGAGCCCGGACCCCAGCGCTCGCCCGCCCGCCCTCCCC